GGGGGGGGGGGGGGAGGGACATGCTCACTGGTAGACGGCCTGGCCCGTCTGCGACTGTCCTGACGTCGGGCCATCCGCAGCCTTGAAGTTCTTGGCCTGCACACATCAAAAAGCCCCCCATGCACACGTGTGTGTGTTGTGTTGTTTGGTGTGGTTGTCTTGCCTTGTGCGCCTCGTCAAACACGATCAGGCCGCCACTGCGGACACGGCTGTTCTGTGTCTGCGCGCTCGACGAAGACGACCGGCTCTCAGCTGGGCCGCTCAGCCACCTGATCAGCTGACACACACCCACACACCCACACACCCACACATCCCAGTGTCTGTGTGTGGGTGTGTGTCCGTGTGAGTGCACCTGCTCGACGCGCGAGGCCTTGTTTGGCCCTTTGCCGCCCTGCACCAGTAGGCTGTATGACGAGAACAGCACCACAGGCTGGCCGGGCCGCCAACCCTGACGGCGAAGAGCCCACACAGCCATGCACACAGACATGGTATGCACACAGATCGGCGCGGGCAGCGTGTGTGAGGTGGGTTGGGGATGAAGGGTTGGCGGCGTACGTGTTGTCTGAAGTGCTTTTTGGCGGTCTGCGGGTCCAGGTCGACTGAAGCATTGATCTCCTTCAGAGGCACTACCTGCATACACACACACACACATGTTGATGCGCACGTCTTGATGCGGGTGTGTTGGCACATGTTGCTGCGTACCGCTACTTTGCCCTTGATGTCGCGAATGTCCCTTGTAGCGTCTTGTATGAGGTCGCTGCTGGTCGACAGCCACAGGTGCCGCAGGAAACCCGAGTTGCACAGGTGGATGATCGTGCCTGCTATCACGCGGCCCTTCCTGACACCGTCACACCAACCACCACAACCACACGCAGGTGTCGGAATGCTTTTTCTAGAGCATAAGTGCGTGTGTCGACTCACCCGCAGCCAGTGCCGTCAGAAAGGAAGAATCCCACACCACCACCACCACCACCACTACGAGCACCACCACTAGACAAAGACGACAGACCAACCGACCTGCAATCGACCAATCAACCAAGCGCCAGGTACACACCCACACACCCACACACCCACACACCCACACCCACACCCACACCCACTGCATCCACGCGACGCCAGGCAGCGAAGTTACCTGGCGAAATATGCGATCGGCTCCAGCTGCGGCGACGATATGCGCCCCTCATTTACCACACTCCGGGGGATGCGCACCTCCAAATCGGCACACAGGGGGGGAGGGCTGCATACACCGGAGAGCACATTCACGATGGCCATCAGTCAGTGTGTGTGAGAGCGTACCTGACAGCGGCGAGCGTGTTTGATTCCGCCAACAGGTCGGGGTGGTCCTTTGCGATGTGGCCGACGACCCCTGACCTGCTGAACAGCCGCATCACGCCGCTGTCATCCTGATCTGATGAAGCCGCCTGGTGCTGCTGCTCGGGCTCCATAGCACCATCCTGCAAAACACAGTGCAGATGCGCCTCATTTAGACCGTACGGTGCACCCCTCCCACGTACCTCCGTTCGCCGCCCCGGATAGATCCACTCGCCCGTCCCTCCTCCCTCCCGCTCGTCAAGGGCATTCTCATCGGTCATGCATTCGTCGTTACCCTCATCGCCGTATCCCTCGTCCATCGCATCATCGCCACCGGGGCTATCCTCCTCAGAGTCTTCGCCTTCGTCGGAGTCCTCAGATTCCGATGATGAGATCTCCGGCTGATCCTCATCGTCGTCGTCATCTGCGATGGGCTCATCTTTGCGAGCGCGTTTGGCTGCCCGGGCTGCGTCCATTTCGTCCATTTTTTGTGCTACTTTCCGGGAGATGCGAGCTCATTGGCGACCGGGGGAGAGGAGTGAAGGGATTGATTGCATCGTTTTCGGTGCTTGTGCTGTGACTTCTGCGTGTATGGGGCCATCTGAAGGCGATGCAATGATTGCCTTCACAGTCCAGACCGGTTTCCCCGGTCAAAACAGGTATACATCCCACATGTGCGGACCAGCAGATGTTGTATGCAGACTGACGATACGGACGGCATGAAACACTTTCATCCCATATAAAATGTAGGCACCGATCGCCAGACACCTGCATCCACAACATGACGCGTCAAAAGAAGATGGTGTCCCTCACGTCACATTCACTTTATCCCCTCCCTGACTTGTCAGCGACTCTTGCGCAGTGACGAACAAAACGCCGGCCACCGTGACGATCATAAGCTTGTCGCCTTTCCCTGTCTTGGCGTTCTCTTGCAAGTCCGTGCGAAGAAAGCGGATTTAAGTAAGGGACACACAAGAGGCAAAGAACGCACGAAAGACGCTGAAAAACTATGTGTGTGTGCGTGCGTGTGTGTGTTTGTGTTTTTTAGGTGTGTGTGTGTGTGTCTGCAGATCTCTCACCCCACACCTCCTTGAGAGCAGTGAAGACAGTGCAGCGCCCTCGTCCCATCCCAGCCCTCCCTTCTTCCAGCGACGCAGCCTCTCCCGCACCGCCGTCACCAAGGCAGCCCGCATGGTCACGTCCACTGAGGATGCCGAACGAGCCGCTCTCCACTCGCAGATCGACGACAGCCATCAAGGCGACATCGACACGATGCTCAATGACGTCAGACAGCACATCGATGAGGCCGGAAGTAGTCTGGGTCTCGCGAAAGTGTTGGCCTTCGACGGTAGTGGTGATTCTGCAGGTCGGCTTGAGGGTGGTCTATCTGCTGGAGCAGGGCACTGGCGACGAGTGGCGGGCCATGGGGCATTTTCTTCGGATGGCCTTCATCTTTGGGTTTACCCCTGCCGACACGACGCGGCCCTGCAGATACCGGCCGACTCGCTGCCCACAGCGACGGCCGGCAGCCAAAGATGAATGACCCCAGACAACGGACACAGCAGACTGAGGTCGGGCGCACACCTTTCGATTTAGAGGTGAGTGTATGTGGGTCAGCTGCGTGGTGTCCAGCTGTTGTCTCTCTCTCTGTCTCGGTGTCTGTGTGTGGCGTGTGTGGTGCCTGTGGTGCAGGTGACTGGCAGCTGTATGGTGTTTCGATGGATGCTTCGATAAGCTGCCTGTGTGGAGCTCTGGATTACACAGGCAGGGATAGTCGCTTACGGATCTATCTGTGTACACGTACACGGCTTGTGGGGGATCTGAGGGCCTGACTGAGATGGGACGGACGGATGGATGGATGGATGGATGGGTGGAGCGAGTGGGCGGGCGAGACAGGGCCGATGTGATACGTACAGGTTTGGAGGACTTAATACAAGACGTGTCAGTCAGTCAGTCAGTCAATCAGGCAGGCAGGGAGGGAGGGAGGGAGGGAGCCGGTGGACGGATTGATGGCTGAATGAGTGAGTGAGTGATTGGATCGCCGTGTGAACGTTTGTGAGGTATGTAGAGCGCACATGAAGTGCATGGACCGATGGATATATGGTTGGTAGCCCTTGAACAAATTGACCACACCAGTCGACCACAATCACTGATTGAGCGTCCACTCATTAAGTTGTCGGCGGCCTTGCTTCGATTGCTCGATTGGTTCCTCCTCTACGTTCAAGTTGGCTGCTGATCGTTCATCCATCTTGCTTACGTGCGTGCGTGCGTGCATGCGTGTCGGTTTCTCTACAGTGCATGCATGTAGAGATAATTTCTGAAAGCATACAAGCATTGCAGAAATCCTGGAATGTTCGACAAGAAATCCTGGAATGTTCAGACGCGACTGCCGTTAGCATCCTCCTCCTTCCCGCCCTGCAGGACGGTGAGCTGATCGTCGCCCAATACTCGCCGCTCGGTCCTGCTCTCAAGGTAGCTCTTCTTCCGGCTGTCTCGTGTGTCAGATATGGATCGTTTCCGGAGATTTATTCCCTCATCCTCTGGCTTGTTGTCTCCCGTCTCTGTCGCTTTCTGGCCTCGCTTCAAGAGGTTGTGGAAGACTTGCCATGCACCAACGCCTAGGCCGGCCACACCGACGATGCCGAGCACGATGGATAGGATTGTATCGACGCACTCGGGCCGGCTGTAGGTAAACCAACCGCATTCGTCGTCTTCCTCATCATCGCCCTCTGTCTCGACCTCGCTGCTCAGCAGAAAGTATCTGGGGTCGGAAAGCTCCTGGGGACTTCGGTGGAGAATCCGCACTTTGTGGCTCGAATCAAGGTCGATGATCACGCTGCCGCTGCTCATCCTCTCCTGCAAATCGCTCATCTTCGTGATTGCGGGGAAGCTGACAAGGTTCACCCGGTCGTGGGTGCTGCCAGTATCGAAGTCGTGAATTGTCACATCACACGGCGCATCTGAGACGACGAATGTATCAGCACCTCTGCCACCGGTGAGCTGGTCGGTGCCTCCTCTTCCGTCGAGTGTGTCTGCTCCATCCCCTCCAACCAAAGTGTTCCCTTGGCTGTTGCCCCGCAGAGTGTCATCGTGTCTCGAGCCTTCGACGTGCGCGATCACACTGCCCTCGGCCAGAGTAATGAACTTCCTATTTTCTGAGTCGTCACAGGCCAAGCGCACATCTGGCAACAAACGAGTAAACAATGTGACAAATGAAAGAGAGCATTTGAGGTACGCACGGATGGATGTATTCACCTCCTGCTTCTGAGTAGGACATTTGGCAACCTTCCGCTGGATCGCCATCTGAGCTGCCTGACGAAATCTCGACCTGGTCAAAGGGTATGTTGGGTGGAAGAGGCGGCAGCGTCTTTCCGTCTGACGGATCTAGCGGACCTGCAGAAAGACACTGAGCGTGAGCAACAGGTAGACCGATCGATGCCATTCTGTCCGTCTGGCGGCGCACCATTCTCGCCGTCTGGCGGCCCACCATTCCCGCCGTCTGGCGGCCCATCGCCTCCACCTGAGCCTGACACGTACAAACGCAGACAAGCATCCGGCTCTTTCCTTGCCAGCCGATGGGAGAAGGAAGACCTGGTGGGAGGGCTGCGTCTTGCGTAGTGCTGGCAGGTTCGACTGTTGATGGCGGAATTGTTGTTGGCGGCATTTCTAAAACGCATGTAACACATGAAGGAGCGAAGACATGAAGAATGTACATATGTCTCTGTTTCTGTGCTCACCGTAAGTAACTGTCAAGACGTTTGAAGCCACGTTTGGGTTACCGACAAGGTCCTCAATTTTGCCTTCTGGGAGCTGCACTTGTACCCCACCCTCTGCATCTGGCGCTACACCAATGCTAAAGGTGTCGCTGGAGGCCCCCGTCTCAGTCACGCTGACCACGGAAGCGTTTGTGATGGCAAAATCACTGAGTGTCAGTGTAGAAGCCTTGATGGGCTCGTCAAAAATCGCTGTCACAATGAAAGGGTCGCTCTTCACAATGCCCTCAGAGGCCGCTGCTGCTAAGGCTGGAGTTGGCTTGATTACATCTGAAGAAACACAAGGTTTTACACCGTGCGGCCCTGTTCTGTGTCTAAATGCCCACCCACCAATCGTGACAGTCAAACGTTGGAGTCTTCGTTGAAATGGCCGGGGGCATTGTACAACTCCACTTTGCCAGCGGTGTGCCGCTGCTGGTTGGCTGTACATTGGCTGTAAACAGCTGATTGGAGAACGGTTTGCAGAGAAGTGACAGACGCCTCAGCAGTACCAGATACAACGATGTCAGCCGCCTCGAAAGAGGCGGATTTGGCGGGCTCAGAGAGCGCGATGCCTACAGTGAAGGGCAATAAGCGAATGCGAAGGGCGTCAGTACTAAGAGTTGGGATCATTGGTCGAGCTGTGAAGTTAGATAAGCCAACGAATATGATACAACGCCATGTCTCGTGTCTCTTCCTTTCTTTGTGCCTTCACCTACGTGTGCAGATAGAAGGTCCTTCTCCTGCATCACCGAATGTGCTCTGGTGGTCACACTCCCATCCCTCCTCAATCGTGCAGGATGCACTACAGCCATCGCCGCTTTCTGGTGTGGCAAGGCTGTCAGGTGTTCCGACATCATCGCATTCCTCAAGTGCCGGCGTCACCAAGCCATTTCCGCAGACGTTGGCGCAGTTCCGGTCATTTTTGCCGATGACAATGCCGTCATAGTATTGATTCGGGTTCTCAAACTTGAATAACTCGTCTGATTCGCCACCCGTTGATCTTGGTACGAGCCCGTTGCCGCTAAGAGTGAATGTCTCAGTATCGAGGCGGTCTTCATCGCGGTCCTTCGCATGTATCATCGTTGTCAGCTCGTTCTCGATAAAGCAATTATCCACAATCTCGATTTGGCGATAGTTATGTAGACGTATCGCGGACCGACGATTTGCTTCATCAGCATCATCATCGCTTAGCGCTGCATTTCGACGAAATGTTGACCTCTTGATGGTCAAGGAGTCTCCCTTCAGAGAATGGTAATCGAGGTGAATAGCACCTGGCTTGTTTTCCTCGAAGGTGCATTCCTTAATCACAACATCACCTGTCAAGAACGAGACACGCGTTTTACGAGCAGCAAGTTGCTTTGCACTGCATGGCGTACCATAAGCAAGTTGCAGTACACCATCGTCTTCATGCCAGCTACCATGAGGGATCATGGTATAGGAATTGCCAATAAAAGTGCTCCTCTCGATAATTACAGTCTTCCTTCCCCACGCGTCAAAGACATGCGGCCATCCACTACAGCTGTATTCCGATTCAACATGGTTGTTGCGAAATGTTGATTGGCGGATGATTGCTGATTCAGAATACGAATAACTGCCGGCACTTAGCTTCAGAATGTTTGTATAATCACATAAAAAGCCGCCCGATCTGTACTCTCGACGGTTGCCTTCAAAAGTCGTTTGCTCCATAAGTGAGTTGCATTAGGAAATATCCACCATGGCACCCGAGGCGGGCAAGGTATCATAAATGAGATTGCCGTAGACCAGGCTGTTTTTCAGAGTGACGATTCTGGTCGGAGGCGTAGCGGACGATGATGCCCCACCGCAGTAGAGCACCATCCCTTCATTCCCATGAAAAACCGACTCCCAGAAATGAACGTCAATCGTATGTTTCTCCGAACCCCATTGCTCAATATTCACGGCGCTGAATGAGGGATATTCGCTGTTGCTGCACTCCTCAATTGACACTCGATAGAAAGCTATACTCATCGTCTTTGCGGAAGAGGAGGAAGAAGGTTTTGTGATGTGAATTACATCCTTTGTTTCGTAATCCCTGATTAGTCCATTGTTTGTAAAGCGGACGCCTCCCACAGTGAAGTCCTCAGTTGCTTCAGCTACCAGAGATGAGCCCTTGTCTGGGGCCTTGATAAAAGGGAACGAGCCGGCATTGCTGAGGTCTTGAGGGAATAAGTAGACATTGCGCCCCTTGAAGATGAGACTGCTTTGCAGACTGATCTCGGTTACACTCGGGTCGATGCGAATGCAGCGAATGGTTGTCTCCGTCTCCGGCTGTTGGGCTTCAGCATGCCGAGCGCCTCTCTAAGAGAGCCTGTTCCCGAGTCAGCCGCACTCGTGACGGTCTTCGTCGAGGCGCACGTCGGTGCGACGAAGTCCGACGTGCCGAAGAGCGCTACAAAGCCCGCCTCATTCATCGTAGCAGCTGACATAAACAAAGGAGAGCACGCGGGCCCAATGCGAAGACAGAATGTCATGTTTTGTCTTCCACTCACATTGCGCGAGCAGAGCCAGCAGATGGACAGCTACGGTAACCATCTTCACGACTTTGGCACATGAGTGAATCATTGTGCTGTCGACGTGCATATCTGGCCCCTGGTACGGCGTGGGCCCGTCTATAGACGCTGGTCTCTTAGTTGTCCAGGTTAGAACCTTCCGTGATGCACGCCGATCACATGAATGCGAGCTTAGATGTGCAAAAAGGGGATGGGCACAGAACAACAGATTAGCAGGAGCCAGCAGAGAGGCTCACAGGAAGGCCACACACCCAGCCAGAAGCAGCCACAAGGTCAAATGAGCAACGCTGATCTGTCTGTGTGTCATATGTGCAGAGGTGGGGCGTACTGTGCTGACGGGGCCAAGACGGCTGAAAGTCCGGGCACTCCCGAGACAGACGGAGAATTGAATTCCCTCGAGAGCGCTCTGGTTGACCTTCTCTGTGTGTCATTCGGGCTGTATGTCATTGTGGTGGTTATCTGTAGACAGACGGCCGCCCAGTGAGTGTGGACGGTGGACGCATCAGCACGAGGCTCATTTGGGTGTCAGTCTGAGGATTGCTCTCGCCGAGGGCATTGTGATGCGTCGGTTGGCCTCTGCTCACGGTGCGTCAAGGTGCACAAGCGAGGCTATGATGTGATGGATGGATCGACCCACCTGTGTGCAGCTCGGCAAGGAGTGCACACATGGTTGGCCGCGGCGTCCGTCCGGTTTGGTAGGTGCAGTGTTCGGCGCTGCTTTGCCGAGCCACTATTGTAACCATTCTGCGGTTTCTGGGTGCATAATGAAGGCCTTTGTGTGCGCACACAGACATCCGGCAAAACTTACGAACCGACTCAGTCGTCCAACGCGACTTCTTTTCTTCGAGGTACCCACTTTGCCGGATCGATGCAGGCAGGCTGGCCCGCATACACACCCGCTCTCCCTCCTTCTCCCTCTCTCTGATGTGTCGTCCTTTCGGTCAGTTTCTATCGGGATGTGTGTGTGTGTGTGCGGTTGGGCAATGAGTGCGGGTGAGCGGTGCCGACAGACACACAAGCATGTGCATTAGGTCGGCGGGGCGGCCCGGCCGGGCAGCCAAAGGTGAATGACCCCAGACAAAATAAATATTGCGATTCACAGGTGGGTGGGTGGGTGTATGCGGGCCGTCATGTGGACGTGTTCATCTCTGTGTGTGTGGGCGCGGTTGGTACCTTTGTTCAGGTGGCAGGCTGCTCCGTTGTGTGGGCGGGTGGACGGGCTGCCTGTGTGGGGTCCGCTACTCATATGTCGAGCAGCTCAAAGCGGCTGTGCGAGTGCTGTGGTGCGCTGAGTGGATAGATGTCTGTATATGACACTCTGACTTGCGGATGTGGTTGATCGACTCATTCATGGATGGGCAGAAATGCAGTCCTTAAATTCTCTCTAGGCATATGAAGGGTCTCAATTCACTCACAGCATCGCTCGTCAGCTCCACTCACGGATGCACACACAAGGACCGGATCACTGCACGCAGTCGGCCGAGGCACATGCAACGAGCGAATCAACAACGCTTCGCGTGTGTGTTATGATGCACTGTGAGCCCCAAACGGCTGCACACACACACACACACACACACACGTGTGTGTCTTTCCCAGCCAGCAGATAAAGATATTCATATTCATGCCTGTCTGTCGGTCGGTCGGTCGGTCTGTCTGCCTGTCTGTCTGTCTGCGTGGGTGTGGTTGGCCGACCTGTCTGTGTTTTTCTTTGGTCTCTTCCATCTGCTCCACGTGGCTGCGAGACGAAGGAAGACATGGAGAGGCAGTGTGTGTGTGTGCAGGTGATCCGGTGAGTGGCTGAGTGGGTCAGTGGGAGGGCACCGCACCGGTGGTCCAGTTTCTTGATGGCCTCTTCTCTCTCTCGGATGGCCTTAATCTACACACCAAAACACAGTCAGGAATGCACTCACACACGTTTGTGTGTCCTTCGCGCCCCTCATCTACCACACTGCGGGGGATGCGCACCTCCAGATCGGCACACAGGGGGGGAGGGCTGCATACACCGGAGAGGAGAGCACATTCACGATGGTCGTGAGTCAGTGTGTGTGCATGTGCTGCGTGTGAGAGCGTACCTGACAGCGGCGAGCGTGTTTGATTCCGCCAACAGGTCGGGGTGGTCCTTTGCGATGTGGCCGACGGCCCCTGACCTGCTGAACAGCCGCATCACGCTGCTGTCATCCTGATCCGATGAAGCCGCCTGGTGCTGCTCGGGCTCGATAGCACCATCCTGCACAACACCACAGTGCAGATGCGCCTCACTCAGACCGTATGCACCGCTTTCACGCTCGTGTGTGTGTGTTCCTACCGTTCGCCGCCCTGGATAGATCCACTCGCCCATCCCTCCTCCCTCCCGCTCCTCAGGGGCATTCTCATCGGTCATGCATTCGTCGATATCCTCATCGCCGTATCCCTCGTCCATCGCATCATCACCACCACCAGGGCTATCCTCCTCCTCGGCTTCATCGGAGCTCTCAGATTCTGATGATGAGATCTCCGGCTGATCCTCATCGTCGTCGTCATCTGCGATGGGCTCATCTCTGCGAGCGCGTTTGGCTGCACGGCCTGCGTCCATTTTGCGCGTGAGATGCGAGCTCATTGGCGACCAGGGAAGAGGAGTGAAGGGATTGATTGCATCGTTTTCGGTGCTGGTGCTGTGCCTTCTGCGTGTATGGGGCCATCTGAAGGCGATGCAATGATTGCATTCACAGTCCAGGCCGGTCTTCCTTGTCAAAACAGGCCACAAGAGGTTGGTGTGCAGACTGACATGACGATACGGACGGCATGAAACACTCTCATCCCATATAAAATGTAGGCACCGATTGACAGACACCTGCATCCACAACATGACGGGCGATGAAGGCTGAGATAGACGTGGATTGATGGCTTGTGCATATCATCGGCGCAGCAGTGGGTGGAGCGAAGCTGCACAAGCCATGCAGGGCAAATCTGTCTGTCTGTCCGTTGATTGATGTTATGTCTTACGGTCTTGTGCCATGGTACTGAGGGGTACTGAGGGGGGATGGGCGCCTATTGGTACCCGCCGGCCGCGATGGTCTGCGGGATGGACACAAACAGCAAGCTCCTCCATCCCTTCCCTCCCTCCATTCCCTCCTTGTGTGTTTGGCGACCTACCTGGATGGCACTGACATGGCGGCAGGAGGCGGTCGAAACGGGTGCAGCACCGGAAGCGGCGCCACCCTGAGACGAAGCAAGCCATTCACAGCATGTGGGTATCTGTCTGTCTGTCTGTGTTCACGTGCTGTGTCACCCGGCCGGAGGTCGGACGGGCAACACCGGCGGATGCACAGGAACGTAACGCACAACCTGCCTGCAAACACAACACCCACAAGCATCCATCCTTCTGTGTGCGTGTGTCTTTGTGTGTGTTCACACATCCATCCCATCACTTTATCCCTTTCCCTGCTTACGGCGCCACCACAGCAGCAGGAGCCTGTTGCTGGCCAGCACGCGCCACTGCAGCAGGAGCCTCTTGTTGGCTGAGACCAGCAGCGCCAGCAGCCTCCCCCTTTCCTCCCACCCCCGCCCGCGCCCCAGCCGCAGCCACAGGGGCAGCGGCAGCGGCAGCAGCCTCTCCCTCCTCTTGCCCCTGCTCCTTCTCCTTCTCCTGTTTCTTCTTGGGCAGATACTTCCACGGGTACATTTTCCGCTTGATGAACTCGGGGTCGGGAGTGCCGTCGGGACGCAGCCACTCCTCGGGGATCGTGACGATACGGTCGCTACGGGCGTACTCCCAGTCAGGCGCCACTGACTGCCGGCGACTGCCGGGCGGAAACGGAGGGTCTCGGTGCTCGAAGTAGTTGCCGCAGGCGCTCAGCTGGCCGCCCCCATCGTACAACAGGCCTGACGACGGTCAGGTCACACACAGACACGCACGAATACGTTACATGGATGGAATCCGCATCTCTCTCCTTCTTTCGTGCGAGGCGTGGATATTCACCCACACGGAGGCGCGTCGGGGTCTTGCGGCGTCCTGCATGACATGGAAAGAGGAAAAGGAGATGAGAATTGAGGACGGACCAAAGATGCTGAACGAAGGTCGACATACTGACTGTATACCATTGTATCGGTTCGTATGCAGACTGACTGACGATTCGGACGGCATAAAACACTCTCATCCCATATAAAATGTAGGCACCAATTGACAGACGCCTGCATCCGCAACATGACGCGTCAAAAGGAGACGGTATCCCTCACGTCACATTCACTTTATCCCCTCCCTCACTTGTCAGCGACTCTTGCGCAGTTTCGAACAAAACGCCGGCCACCGTGACGATCATGAGCTTGTCGCCTTAGATGCGAATTCCCCACTATCTCCTGTGGGAAACCGAGCTGCACCATGCCGACGGCGAGCCCGTAACAGACGGTCATCACGCCGGCCACCGTCACAGTCATCATCTTGTCGCGTTTCTTGGCCTTCTCTTGCAAGTCCCTAGGGTCCAACACATGACTCACCATGACTCACCCTCGTCGCGGCTGCGCGCACGGTCCCGCAGAAGAGCCTCCTCTGAGAGGCAGTTGAATGGTCACTGCGCACCCATGAACATGTAGATCTGCACACAGAAAGACACGTCACATGCAGCGATGTAACGATTCCACGCAAAGCCCGAACGCGTTGGTCCCCCACCGGTATGAAGATGGTAGCGAGTACGATGGCTTGTACGATGGGGAAGCCAATGACCCAGCGGACCGCCACACCAACAAACGACGTATTCTTCATACCGCCTGCACCATTCATCCATGCGCACCGGTACCGCACACAGGAGGCCATCCTGAAGTCCATTACCATCCTCGAAGGCGATCTTCCTCTCCACCTCTGCAAGACGTCTCTCCCTTGCTGTGAGACATACACAGAGAACGAGAGCCGCGCACATCGATTCACCCAGCCAATTGCACAAAGCATATGCATATGACGTACGTGGCCTTGGTGTGGGTACAGAAACGCTTTTGTAATCCCACAGAAGCTTTGCTCCTTCGTTGTCATAGAGTCATAGAGAAGGAGCTTCCGACGGAGGCGCCCTTCTCCTCGAGCGCCTCATGAGCGTGTCCTCCATCTGTGGGCACCAGAGGTGGTGACCCTTGGGGTCGAGGGTGGGGTGAGGGAGGCCGCCGGCGATCCAGCCGTCTCCGTGCCTCAGCCATTCGCCGATGTAGTGGGCAGAAGCGCTTCGAACTAACAAACGAGGGCAGATCACGGCTTCCACGGACGCTGGCTGGTACATAACAATGCCATCACAAACTTAATTGAATGCGTTTGGATCCGTCATCAGCTTCCTCAAATATAAAATGTGGGCAGCGATTGACGTGCCTGTGAGACATCGAAGGAGACACGAACACAACAGATCGCTGATTTATGAGCGCTGTGCACTCGTTCCTGTACCATACACTTCGCCCGGACCAGTGGGCCACAAAAGTACTTCAATACACGGAGCCACCAGGGAAACGGCATACTGAGACCCACACAGAACCGGATGCATGTAGCTGCTGTGCTGTGTGCGTGTGTGTCAGGGCTGTCTTCCTCTGTCTCCCTCTGTGTGTGCGCGTGTGTGTGTGTGTGCGAGGGAGGGAGGGGGACGTACCTCTGCGGGCGCGGGATGATCTTGGCGACCTCCCATGGGACCACCTCTCCCGCTGCGCCAGCCTAAACGAGGCACACATGACGATCTTGCGCAAGTCCTCGTCAGTGATGCCCTTCGCCGCTGTGCCTTGCGTGTCGACGAAAGGATACGCCACCTGAAGGCCCCACACACACATACACACATGAGTAATTTCCCGGAATGAGATGTGTGTCTGGCGTGACCTTGATTAGGCAGGCACTCTTGACACAGTCCACTGGCAACCACAGACAGTGCACACCAAGGCGCATAGCCAGCAACTCGGGCAACCTGACCGATAAACCACGCACAAAGACAAGGTCTGTATTTTCGCGTCCCACTCGCCGAACACATCGACTGTATGCGACCTGCACAGAAACACGCACACACCATCCTCTGTTCCTTCTGCCATTTGTCTGATATCCTTCTCACGTCCGGCAATCGCTGTGAGCATCCGTGTCCCTCTGCACTCGGTGGTGGAGACATCAACCCACACTGCAAACGAATGACAGCAGAGAACAGAGATGAGAGTGAGTGCTGGGCTGGGCTGACCGGTGATGCCTAGCACATCCCAGACGGTGATCCACGCGACGAATGAGTGGCCGGCGTCGGTCAGGACGAGACGACGGTAAGTGAAGCCGGCAGTGGCGCGGTATGAGGTGGTGGTGGTGCATCCCTCCACTGGTGTGTGGGGGACTGCGTCAGCAGGTTGAGCAGCCGGTTGTTGTCGACATACCTGACACACACACACAACGTACACTCGTGTGCCGTGACAGTGTCCACACACAGAGTGATGCCCCGCCTCACCTGTTGATAGCGCTGCGGTCAGCAGCGACGTTGATCTGGTGAGTCTCTGTGAAGTGGTTGAGGACGATGCCCTTGACCCACGACGACACAGATGCGTAGTCTCAGGCCGCCAGCGACCGCCAGCCCTCGAGCGGATGACAGTAGATCCTGGTACGGACGGGCGGGTCGTGCGCTTGTCGATGCTGCTGGTAGAGGTGGTTGGGAGGGAGCGGCGGGTTGGTGTTGATCTCAAAGCCACCTTGGTCCTTGATGGCCCGCAGTGTGTTGCCGTGCTGGAATAGCTGGAAGGTCGTGTTGTCGCCGAAGTCGATGTGCATCCACAACATGACGCGTCAAAAAAGATGGTATCCCTCCCGTCACATTCACTTCCCCCTCTCTCACTTGTCAGCGACTCATGCGCAGTGACGAAGAAACGCCGGCCACCGTCACAATCATCATCTTGTCGCCTTTCTTGGCCTTCTCTTTCAGGTCCTTGGGGTCTAACACCAGCACGAAAAAGAAGTGGAACACCAGCCATGGAACCAAGGTCAGCCACGCCAAGAAGGCGGCGCCATGTGCACGTGTCTTCGCCAGGCAGCTTCGGCGACCTGAAGCACACACCAGAGAGAGTTATGAAGATCAGCCGGAGACCTCATCATCGAAATCTGAGGACTCCGATGAAGCCGAAGAGGCAGCGTGTTGTACGTATTCCTCACTGCGCACCCATGAACATGTAGATCTGCACACAGAAAGACACGTCACATGCAGCGATGTAACGATTCCACGCAAAGCCCGAACGCGTTGGTCCCCCACCGGTATGAAGATGGTAGCGAGTACGATGGCTTGTACGATGGGGAAGCCAATGACCCAGCGGACCGCCACACCAACAA